AGCAGTGAGGAGCAGGGGAGCTGAGTAGCCCGGCGTGGGCTCCCTGAGCAGCTGGGGGTTCTGGGAGCCTCTACACAGCAGCTGGTGGCAGCGGGCTGGCCTGGACCCGGGTTTTGCGGGGTGGCTGTGGATGAAAGCAGAGGCTGAGATCCTGTGAGGGAGTGTTTGCAGGAGCCGTGAGAGTCAAGGATTTCACCCCACTCGTGAGCTAACAGACTAACCCGACACTGTGTCAGGGATGCTGGTAGAAGGCACGAGGCCCCCAGGTCAGGGACAAAAGACTGTTATTCACAGGAAAGGCAGTGGCCAGAGTGTCAGCATGGTGTGCTGGCTCCGTACACCCCAATTCCCACAGGGGTGACACCAGTGCTCCTGGGTGGAGGCTGCACGGCGTGGGTGGGTCACAGGAGAAGCGGGGCCCGTGAGCGAGCTTGGTCCTCGTCCCCGGGGGCGGTCACTTCACCTCAAGGTCGCTCTCTGCAAAGGCAAACCTGTGTGATGGCCCAGGGAGGAGCGGTCAGGGACTGGTGCTCCTGGCGTGTCCAGCCCGACATGTGGGAGCGCCCCCCACATGGTCAGCAGTGTGGACCTTGCGTCCAGGCTTCCGGTCTGGCTAGAGACGGCAGCTGACGCGACAGGGGCCAGCGACTGGGAGCGGAGGCCTGGGCGGAGCGATTGGACATCGGGTGAGGAAGGCCTGGACGTCTGAAAGCTTGTCCTGCGGGTGGGCTGCTGGAATTGACTTGTCACCCAGAGGGAGCATTCCGGAAGCCCCAGTGAATGGGACCAAGAGCTTGGAGAAAGGGGGTCAGGACTAGTCGGGTGGATGGGCCCCAGGTCCCCAGGGTGCTGGCAGGAGCCTGCGCCCCCACAGGCGGGGGCGTGACCTGCAGGTCCGTAAGCCCCAGCAATGTGAGCGGGGGGGGGGAACGCCGAGCGTCCCGGGCGGCGGCAAACACCAGTGGGCGGTGTGTCGTTCCCTGGGGCTGCCGCACCGAAGCGCCCTGAGTGGGGGGCCCCAAAACAGCCGAAATTTGTTTCTCAGTCTCGGAAGGCCCGGGTGTCGGGGCCGCGCTCCCTCTGAAACCTGCGGGGAGACCCTTTCCTCCCCTCTCCGGCTTCTGGGGTGGCGGCGGTCCTTGTCACTCGCATCTCCGCCCCTGTTGTCACACGGCCCTCTTCTCCGTGTCTCACGAGGACACCGGTCATGCTGCCCAGGGCCATCGTGGTGTCCTCCCCTTAACCTGGCCACACCTGCGAAGACCCTGTTCCCAAATAAGGCCACAGTCACAGGTACGGGGACAGGACTTGAGCGTGTCGCTTGGTCACACAATCCTCCCGTGACAGATGGCACCACACGTGCAGTGAGAAGGTCCGAATGCGGACCACCGCTTTGCGCACACACAGGCTGGTCACGGGACAGGGGAGGCGGCTGCAGAGTCCCCTGCGTTCGCTCCTCTTCTTCCCTGGGGCTTCGGAAAGGCTGTTCCCGCTCCCGTCGGCAGGTGGCAGTGTCGCCTGCAGGGCGGAGCACCGCGTCCGGCCCGGGCCGTGCTTAGCTGAAGCAGGGGGTGAAGGAATTAATTATTCGGGGTCTTCTCCCGAAAAAGACCGGCGTCTCCGCGGGGGGGCATGCACTCCCACCTTCACTTCCACGTCGTGGGTTAGCGTGGTACCCAACCCACGGGGCCCGCCTTTCACATCTGTCTCTGACAGACTGGGGGCAGGGACTGGGCAGGGGCGCGGTGGGGCCAGGCGTGTGCCAAGCAGGAGTCCCCGGGCTGGGTGTCGGAGGGCCGGGCACCAGCTCCCCTGGCTGGAGGCTCTGTGCGGCCGGAGGCCACTCCCATTTGCCGGGGCTGGGGGCCGAACTCACCTTCCAGAGAAGCTGCATCCTGGGCGAGGCCTCTTCCTTCTCGAAGGAACCAGGCCGAGGACTCAGCCAGTCCCAGAGCTGCATCTGACTCTGGCAGGGCTTGGCGACTGTCGAGGGCCCTGGGGACCAGTCCAAGAGACCCCATGTGGGGTGTTGCAGGCAGCGCCCTGATCCTTGACTTCGGCAGGTCGTGACAGAAGCAGGGGCAGCTTCGACGGAGCAATGCCCTTCCCAGAGGACGGGGGGCCGCGGAAGAGCAGGACGTGGGGAGTGAGGATGGCACACATCTCTCCCGCAGTTTCTAAAAGCCACGTCGTTTCCATGGGAACGGCCCCCACCCTGCTGCCCACCTCGAGGGGCCCAGGTTCCCCGGGTGCTCTCCCCACACCTCGCATCTGGGGAAGCCGCAGCCGCAGCGTGATGGGGTGACCCGTGACCAGGTCTGGCTGCACTGAAGTGCTCCCCACGGGCGAGTGGGAGCCGGGGGGCCCCGGGGGACATCAGGGGAGGCTTGGGGCCAGGAGATTTGGAAGGGACGTTGCCTGGGACTGAGGTGTCGGTTCTGGCTCTGGTCGGCATGAGAGGTAGGGGGCAGGGCAGCACATGCCACCTGGTTCCCGGAAGCATGAGAGCCGCACGTGGAAAGCGCGTCCAGCAAGGGCTCCACGTCTCCCAGACGCGGCTCCGGGAGGAAGCTCTGTCCGCCCGCGCCGGGGTCTTGCCGGGGCAGCAGGCTAGAGGGCCTGCTGGCATCTCCCTGCATGTCCGTCTCCTCCCTAGGCCGGGGGTCCCCGAGGGCAGGCCGTGGTCGGCCTCGTCACAGCTTATAGGCTGTCCTCTGGCTGCCATGAGAAACGGCCACAGACTGGTGGCTGAAACT